AAACGCTCAATCCACACAGTAATAGCATTCCAGCAAGATTGCGATAAGAAAATATACTCCAGCGCATCAAAAGCTCTCGAAAGCGCTCGAAAAAGTGCCATTTGTCGCACCTTCACTCATAATCTTGCATGTCACAGCCAATCGCAGGCGGCCGATGCTAAATAAGAAATCCTATTGGCTAATAAAAACACCATCTCGTTTCTTCAGCATCGAATCATTACGGCAAGGTTCGAGTTGATCACTCCCCGATTCGGGCTCGCTCACGCAAGGCACACGACAGATTCTTCTCCCAGCCAGCATGACGGAGACGACCGACCCGCTTCCTCCTTCACCGACCGCAAGCGACACCGCACCGGACCACGTTCCGGCCGTGTCCGAGCCCGAAAAATCAACAACGGGAGACCAAAGTGCCAAAATCGTGATCCTCTCGGTCAATGACGTGTACGACATGGTTCCCAATGAACATGGACACGGTGGTATTGCAGAATTTGCAACGCTGTTGGAACGACAGAAGGCTGCACTACCCGAGGACGTGACGCTGCTGGTCACGCTAAACGGAGACTTTCTCTCCGGCTCAGAAATGGCTGAACGCTTCAAAGGGTACGTCGCGTTAGGTGGATAATGCAGTACGAGATAAACTAATATTTTGTATGACTTTTGCAGCGCGCACATGATCGAGTTGATGAACCACCTGGGTATCGAGTACGTGGTGCTGGGCAACCACGAGTTCGACTTTGGAGCTGATGAACTCAAGGTTCGCATGCGTGAGTCGACGGCGAAGTGGTTTGGATCCAACGTACTGGACTCGGCTTCCGGCGCGTTGTTCGACGGTGTCGTAGATACAGAGATCATCACATTAAAAGACGGACTGAAACTGGGAGTCTTTGGTGTCTGCACAGAGGAGACCCCGACGTTGTCATTCCCAGGCTCCAGCGTAAAGTTCGACGACGTGTTTGCCACATCTCGACGTTGCGTCGAACAACTAAAAGCCCAAGGCGCAGATTTTATTCTGGCACTTACACATCTGTCCATTTCGCAAGACAAGAAGCTTGCACGTCAAGTACCTGGCATCGATTTGGTGCTTGGCGGCCACGACCACGAGCCGTTCACAATGTATGAGGGCAAAACATTCATCCACAAGTCAGGACAAAATGCCTTTTGGTTGGCCAAACTCGAGTTCGAGTTGAAACGCTCGGCTGATCATCCTGAGCGTGGCTTAACCGTCTTGCCACAATGGAGCATGATTGCCAACGCGTATTTGCCACCACAACGGGCGTGTCAACAAATTCTCTTCAAGTACATGCAACAAATGGCAAGTGAAGACGATCCTGAGAAAAATGAGCGTGTGTTGGCTACTTTGGCGACCACGTTAACCACTCGCACTGCACTGTTGCGAGCTGGAGAGAGCAATGGCGGCAACTTGGTGGCAGATGCACTTCGTAGCGAACTGGCGGCTGATGTGGGTTTTATCAATGGGGGTTTTATTCGGGGAGACAAGGAATATCCCGCGAAATCCAGCATTACAGTGGGTATTTTGAAACACGAGATGCCATTCCCGCGACCTGCCGTTCTCGTGCGAATTAAAGCCAGCGACCTACGCGATGCATTCATCCAGCATCTGTATAAATACCCACAGCAGAGCGGCTCACACCCGCATGTGTCTGGGCTCAAGGTGACCGTCGATATGAAGGTAACCCCGCCTGTTGTCACGAAGATGCTGCACGAGAACGGCGAGCCGGTGGACTTGGAAACGGAGCTCCTCGTGGCCACGTCCAAGTTTGTAGCTGGCGGTGGTGATGGCTGTTCGTCCTGGCTGAAGGGCGAAATTTTGAGGGAAGCACCGAAGATCCCCGAGGTCGTAGCCGACTTTATGATGAAGAAGCGGTTGCTGGCATATCCCGAGCACGAGGGACGGATCACGATCATCGAGTAAAAGTAGAACTCGATGTGTCTATTAACTCACGAGAAGGAAGTAGTCAAAAGATATTGCTGACAATCAATTAAGTAATTCGCTTGTAAAGATCCATCATGAAATCGCAATCTCGAATGCCCACGATGCGAACGAAGGCTTTGCTGTCGGTGCTCAAAATGGACACGATGTCGTGCGCACGAGCGCGAAACTCGGAGGAAAGGCCGAGCCTTGAGCCTGTAGGCTGTCCCAATGCAGGCAACATTTGGCGGAGATGAATTACAGTACTAGCCTACTGGAGCCGTTGCCATAGTAGTTGTGCTCGCTCTACATGTAGTCGTTAGTAACCTGTCTCTTCGAGGTTTTTGTGTACATGTAAGTGAAATCTCAATAAACCAAACGCCAGATGCAGCGGTAATGTGTGTGGAGACGGTCTCCTGGAGCTTCACGTGGTAAACTCCACACGTTCCAATGAACTGATATTTGGCTAGCAACACACTATGTGGCGGCAACGGAGCTTGGATAAGGCAGCACTGACAGGTATCCACAATCGCGTGGAGCGGTCCACTTCAACGTGCCTCCCCATCTCTAAAGTTTGGAATCCAGACTGTCTCAAGGTCGGCAGTCAAGGTATTTTATGCGTGTCGGCAGTGACCAACGCCAGCAACAACGACGCACATGGTTTAATGAACACTACAGTTGTGCTGCTACATGTAAAGTGTCTCCACCACGTCGGTGTTGCCGGCTCCTGATATGAACTCACACACGTAAACGTAAACTAGCAATCCGAAGTTTCGGCTTACGGAGTCGTACGGTAAAAAACTGAATTTCGAATGGTCGTATTGCACTTTGATTGGTCAATAACCCGGTAATGCCTCCATCTGGTTCGTCTGTCTTCTGACTGACTTGCTCCCGTTGCCATCAGGCAGCGCCAGGCACGCGGATTCATTACCATTCCCTCGTTCTCCTCGGCCCTCGACACCCACACACGGGATTCCTATCGTCGAGCGCTCTCGAAGCGAGTGCTGCTCGATACCCACCGCCTTTCGTGGCAAGTAACGTTAACGGTTGACTGCCGCGCCCGTTTCCAGCTGTGCATCGACCGCCACTCGCGTCGTCGTCTTGTGGCCAGTGCAGTCAACGAACGCATACATAGAAGGCGGTCACACGTCTCTCAAGCCACTCAGACGCAGTTTTCCGTGTCCGCGTCTGTTCAAACTTTGTGGCCTTTATCCGGAAAGGGAAAGAGCTCCAGTTCCGCGGCCCTCGATCGACTAGGTTACATAATAATCGGGGAGGAAGCATGCGCTCATGGTTCTTCTTGACGACGCTGGTCGCCGTGGCGTCCACATCGTGGCTCTCGCAAGGTATGCGGACTTATCCTTCATCTAAGTAGTCGGAGAATGTGAACTAACAATTTCGTTCGCGTTATTTCAGTGGAGGCAGCGGCTTGTGCCGAGATCTGCTACACGACCGCATTGACGGGCTTTGGACCGGGAGGATCTGCCGGCTGTAGCTGCAGTGGCTCGCAACAAGGAGCGCGCACGGGATCCGGAAGCTGCAGTTGCGGCCAGTGCTACGAGCAGTCAGGCAGCACCGTCATCGGCTACGCTATCAACAGCGACGGCACGTGCACGTACGGAACGGACTGTGGAGACTGCGATTACTCATCGACTTCTTCTGGAAGCACAACAACCACGACGTCACCGACGACCAGTAGTGGCAGCTCCACGACATCTACGTCATCAAACTCGACAGAGTCCTCCACTCCGACCCCTACGACAGGTAGACAGCTTTGGTTTGATTGGTTTTGGGAGGTGTTTTTTAGCGTTCTGACTGTGTTGCTTGATGTTTTAAACTGGCCTCGCTTCGTATCTTATGGTAATGTGCTGTTGTTTTGGCTGGGTTGTGTGCTATTAACGTTCTTAGCTGCGCCTTCCACACCGTCTCCTGTTGTAACTTCAGGTACTTCGTCAAACTCGACCTCTGGAATTTCATCATCCACTGCAGATAATAGCAATTCGTCTACGACGCCCACATCGAGTAATTCGGGTTCAAATAATAACAACGCAGGCGAAGCTGGCAGCGCAGCGGGTGATTCATGTAAGTGACTGTAACAATGATAAATTCTGGTAAATTACTAACGATTTGTGATATATGAACAGCGAGTAATGGCCTCAAGACGTGGCAGATTGCGTTGATTATTTGTTGTGGTGTATTGGTCTTCACAGTGGCTGTGGTGTCGGTACTTTCGTGCTACTGCAAGGCTCGTAACCGCTTGTATGAGAACGAGGACGACCAGGCTGATGCCAGCTACTATCAGCAACAATACCCGCGTCAACGCGAAGATGCGTTCGGATCTACCGCGGCTGCCACGCCTACGTTATTCCCGCAGGGACCGACGACTAGTTCCCGAAGATCTGGTAGCTCCGGGAGCTTCACGAACGAACTCAAGACTTTGTACGCCAACTCGGCGAACAGCGGCAGCACTGATAGGTTAGGCGTGGGTCTCGCTCCCGTACACATCCGCAACAGCTCTGGTGATTTGGCTGGAATGGCTGGCAGCTATCCGAACGAGCGTATCCTGTCTGGTAGCTACTCGAACGAGCGCATTTTATCCGGCAGCTATCCGACAGACCGTCGAGCAAGTGCAAGCAACAGGTCACAAGGACGTCGACCCAGTTTGGAGCAGGGATACAGCACAGCGCGCGATCGAGACTCGTTGGCGGTGGAATTATAGGCGTAACCCTGTTTTAACTCGAGGTTTTCCCGGTATATCCCGGTTAAAAGCAGGAGCAGCTACAGGATAACGGCCATGGACAGCTTAAGCAGCGACGAAAAAGACGTCGACGGTAGCGTCGAACAGAGGTCGTGTCTTTGGCTGGTAGTAGCGCTCAATAGTAGAATTATTCGCGCTCAAGGACTGGACGTCGAGGCGAGTGCTTGCCCTTGAGGTAGGCTAGAACAGACGCCTCCATTCTTGGCAGTAAAGCGATAGTAGTTGAATTATTACGTAATGACGTTTACATCTTACAAAGCAGGCATTTGGTCATTATGGGGATCATTCTACATGTAGAAGGTTTCTTCTCATGGGATTGCCGCCGTGAATCAACCGCAACGGTGACACAGCAGCGCACGTCTCCACAAACGCACGGGGTCAACCACCGCGGGACTACCAACCAGCACACATCCCGTTCAACAGTATCTGAATCATCTTGCTCGAATCATTTCCTCCATCGACCAACCGAATCTGAAAATGGCACAAAATTACAATTGAAGTGTATACAGTATACAATGGAAGGAAGATGTATACGTTGGCATCAGTGACCCGACTTATGAATTTCGATGAACCCGTTAAAAGCATACTTAAGTAAAGAGCAACGCCCTTGGATGTGAGGCTATAATGGAGCGATTCCAGCAGCAGTTTGAACTCGTTCTAAACTGATCTCCTTTTTCAACATCCAAAACTCGTTTGACTTGCACCCTCTTTCAGATTTATTTCTTTTAAATAGGATAAAGGACGGAATAAGGTCCTA